AGCTGTTTGCACTTGGAAGGTGCAAAGCACACCATACCTGGATACCTCGATCGCCAAGCGGTTCAAAGCCTCTTGGACTGCCTGTGTATTGTCACCCAGCAAGGCGATATCATCGGCATATTCCATATCAAGAACTCTGTTCCCTGGGAGGAGTTCGACTCCACCGTTTGCTAGACCGGATATAGGCCAGCCTTGTCGAACTCCACTGGAGACGGCGAAGGGTGGCAAAAGCTAGCCATAGGCCCTAACCCGACATGAGTTATGACGATACAACTCTTTGAGAATCGACAAATAATTCTCCGGTACTCCATTCCTCAACAAACAGTTCCACAGTGCGGTCCTATCGACAGAGTCGAAGGCCGCGCGAGTGTCTAAGAATACAATGACCGTTGGTCTTTGGTAGGTATGATGGTGCTCTATCAGCTGTCGAAGGGTGAAGATTTGATGGATGCATCCACGACCAGCGCGAAACCCAGCCTACTCCTTGCGGGTCTGCTCCTCGTAGTGTACAATCGGCGGAGAATGACGGACGCCAACAGCTTTGACGCTATCGGGATTAGGTTTACGTTCCTGTCATTGTTGCATTCATTGAGCGGGCTCTTTTTGAAGATGGGGACAACAATCGACTCCCCCCACGAGGAGGGAACTTACTAAGTGTTTTACACTTTGGCGAACAGGACGTGGAGTTCTCTAACAAGCTTTATTCCACCATTTTTAAGTAGAGCAGAGGGAAGGCCATCGGAGCCCAGCGCTTTGTGACGTCCCAAAGTGGGTCTGTTGTGACAGACCATGGGACGTGTGCCGGAATAGCTGTGTGAGGAGCTGGCGCTGGTGGCCAGCCAAACTGTTTTGAAGTGCTCCGCTCAGCGTTCAAGACGTCGCTGTGATAGGCTGTGAATAGGCGAACCGTCAGCATCGCAGATCGTTTCACTCACACCTAAGGCTTTGCTACCGGTGACCCGGATGAGACGAAACAGCTTATGGGAATTTCCCATGGCGGCAGCACGATCCATCTCAGACGCGCGTTTGGTCCACC